GTAAAAAGAATTGTGTGTTACTAAGAATAACCTGCATTAAAAAAGTTACAAATGTATAAAGCATACTGGCTACCTGGATTTAGGATTGCCCCAACTCCTAAAACAAAGCAAGAAAACAAATATAGAAATACAGAGGTAAGGAAGACATGAGGGACAAAAATAATTCAGGTTATGGGTCTGTTTGTACAATAGTGAGGAATAAATTGAGATACAAAACAATGTGTAATAGACTTCAAAGATGTGTAACTGGATAGGAACGCAAGGAAGGGGAATTAATAGGACTCAAAGGTTATATTTGCCTAGTTTTTTTTCATACCTTTCTTATCAGCAAATAAGGCAAAGTGAGCTTTTACAAGCCGAGGAGGTGCTGTAGTTCCTGTGTGTATATATAAAGAGTCCTACACGCAACATTAATTTTCCTCGCTGCACACCTTGGCCAGGTCCACATTCACTTGTTAGTCAGCAAATAGCCATCATGGCCTTCACCCAAGTTTCAATCAAAAGGCTGGGTTCTATCGATAGATCTCCAAATCTGCCCGGACTAGGCTACAGTAATGTGGCCACCACAAGATATGCCGGCAGCGTCTATGGTGGTGCTGGAGGATATGGCACCAAAATCTCAACAGGTTCAGGTTTTGGCTCGGGTGGCTACAGCAACCTCCAGATCAGCACTGGTAGTGATGTCCTGCTTGCTGGAAATGAGAAGGAGACAATGCAGAACCTGAATGACCGTCTAGCAACCTACTTGGACAAAGTAAGATCCTTGGAGAAGGCCAACTCGGACATTGAAATACAGATCAAGGAATGGTATATCAAGAATTCCGGTGTTGTGGAACGCGATTACAGTAGCTACTTCAAAGCAATCGAGGGCCTGAAAAATCAGGTAGGTAACACCATAACAACTAAATTCTGCAACCAGTTCATTTTTTTATTTTAAAAAGAAAATAATAAGTTACAATAGCATGTATTTAGCAACACACCCACTGATTATCTTCATTTATTTCAGCCGCAATAGACATAATGTGCAACAAAGAAAGTCTTTTCAAGTCTGTTTTGTTGGTTTTGGCATCATGCTGCTAGCTACTGGGTAAATTATATTAATTAATGATTAGCTTTAAATTGTCTAGTGCAGACATCTCATTATTTAGTGATTACTCTAAGTTTGTTATTATACTTGTATCTAGAGAGTTTTATATCTTTTTAAGTACAAAATCTTGTTTATGACCATTAAAACCTTTCACTAATCTGACATCTTGTCGCTATAGGTTGGTAAATTGACATTTGATTGGTTTTCTATGGCTTACTGAAAAGTGCACATAGTCTTTGCGCTCTTTATTAAAGTAAACCATACCGCCCAACTTTCTTAGATGTGAAAAAGGCACACCTTTTAGCAAAGTATGTAAGTAAAGGACACACCCCTGCCACACCCTCAATTTTATAGACTATGAAGAATGTAAAGGCCCACACAAAAAGATCCACAAGTGCTTTTTTTCTTCAAATTGGCTTTTTAAAATAACAAATCCAATGGCTGCAGGAAAGATTTTTTGCAGTATAGCATTTTTGAGTTAAATATTTATAAATACATAATATAAATTTATAGAGGTCTATATTTATCAGACCAAAATAGGGGACAACTGAGTCCCCTATGTTAAATCCTTACCAAAGTTAAAGAGGCCTGCAGATACCTGTTCCGACCTTGACAGCAGGTCCCAAAACCCTCATCAGCTACTGGAGCCCCAGTGAACAATCAATTATTTTCAGGTACATGGAATGCGTAGGCTTCTTTGACCATTTCACAAAACAGGGCTCAGTTTCTAAGGGGCCAATCTACATTTCACTTTCCATATCTTTTGTGTGGACATATATTTACACAATGCAATCTGATTGGTCGTTATGTGTTACTGTACATTACACAATGCTCTGTCTCATTTTATAATGAAGCGGTAATGTGACTCAGAGCAACCAATCCCAGATGAACTTTTAGTTGGCAATATTAAACAGCAAGTAGCTGATATCTAGTTAAATTGTATTGGTTACTATTCTTTCCATAAATAATGTTTATGGATTTTGCAATACCAGTTTTGCCTTTACAATAGGTTTTCTACATAAGCAAAATGGAAATACAAAGTTTGTATTGTCCATAGGATCCAATGAGATGTATCTGCAATTTTTCTAATGCAGGTACAAAGGGAAACACCTGATTGACTGTTATGGTCAAACCCATTTCTTCCATTTTTAATATACCACTTGAATTGAGTTTGGAATTGTCAACTAATGGAGGCTGGATATTATATAATATCACTTATCACTTATATCAATATCACTAGTTGGATATTATCCTTACGTGTATTAGTTTTTGTACTTTGTCCTACCTTACTTAATAAATCAGCTGGGCATGCAAGCAGAAAATCTCATGATAAAATGTTTGACTTAGGAATTGATTGCTCTTACAAATTTATGGCAGGGATATTTTGGACTATTCAAACAATCTGTGCACTGTAAATATGAGTAATTGCTGATTGAAGATGGTTCGTTGGCAATGCCAGTGACTTCATTATATTTACAAATATCACATTTGTTGGACTCTGGTTATTTTTTTATTACCCCCACAGTGCATTATATGTTGACTTATTTGGTAAGCCTGGAAAAAAATAGTAAAAGTCATACACAATGCCTGATTGAGAGAAATGAATGTTCTTGAAAACTTGCACAATAAAATTATATTGTTAGTCAATGAAAGTCATCCCCTATATGTTCACTTTCCTGTTCTTAGCCGTGGCTACAGGATACAATACTTTACTGCTTGCAGCAAGATGAACTCTGATGGGTTACTACACTTTATTCTGTACTGAATACACCTAGTAATTCATTCATACATTCATTCATACAGAACCTATGGGGGCCAGAGATGTTCATTGCATGTATTCAGGGGGTGTCCCTAGCCTTTTCGTCATCTGAAGGGGTTGAGGGAGGGTTTGCTTGTGATGTATGCTAACAGGGTGGAAGGGGGGTCGGGATGCCGGCCAGAGCATCTCGCTCAGCTCCTGGCAACCAGTGATGTTACTGGTTGCCAGTAGCTAGGATGAATGTCTGCCAGAGTGTCCTAATGAACTCCTGGTAACCAGTGACATTACTGGTTGTCAGGACCTGGTTGGGATGCCTACAAGAACCTCCAGCCCAGTTCCTGGCAACCAGCGGCATCACTGTTTGGCTGGACCTGGTCAGGACGCCTGCCAGAAACTCCAGCTCAGTTCCTGGCAACCATTGATATCACTGGTTTGCAGTAGTTGAGTGGGACACCTGCCAGAGTGCCCCAGGTTGCTAAGAGCTGGGCGGGGAGATGTAGGTGCCCCTTATACATCTTCCTGGCCAGGTCTTACAAACCTAGGATGCTCTGGCTGGAAAGGGGGTGGCACTGCAAACATTGACCCAAAGAGATGCTACCTGAGGCAACTGCCTCAGGCTGCCTCATTATAGGGATGGCCCTGTCTGTATGCAACTATTTGCATCCCAAAGTACATTATAGGTAGTGGTTTACCTTTCATGACCCAGGTTTAAATGTAAGTTGACAACATCCCAGGATTAATGTGATGTTACCTAACACCCAAAGGTTTGCAAGTAACGTCTGCAGGATTTGCTTATCAGTTGTCACCATAGGCCTATGCCATTCCAAGTCACTAGCTGACTTGTCCTTCCTTTATAACTAACTGCTTATATCAGCAAAAATGTACATGCATTGCAGAGATGTACTCCATTCTTTTTTTTTTGCCTTGGCATACATAGTTACGTAGGAGATATGGTTTAAAAAAAGACACAGGTCCATCAAGTTCAACCTCTGTGTGAGTGAGATTTAGGTGTTTGATCCAGAGGAAGGCAAAAAGCTAAAAAAAAAAACAAAAAAAACACAGCATAGGCCAGTTTACTCATGCACATTTGAGGAGCTTAAAGGCTACATTTACCTTTCTGACCATGTTTCCTGTTACACCCATATTCAGGGTGTAACATAAAAACATGGTCAGATCATTTGACAGGATCTGTGAATGGAGAAATTAGAAGAACCATGAGGTGACGTCACCACACTTGTAGTCTATTTATTCTTCCTCCCGTCCATGTGACTGACTTAGACCCAGGGCCGGATTTACTCTCTCTGCTGCATACAAGTCATCTCGACGACATCGCCAGGATCACTTGTACAAAACAAGAGGCGGCTTCCCCACTGTACATTTAGCTCTGCTTGCCCAAACCCCTGCTGCCCCAAGGCTGGGCCTTGGTTGGCCTTGTGGGAAATCTGGCCCTGCTTAGACCTCCAACTTATGGTTTATTATGCCAGGCCTACTTACATAGTTTTGTGAAAGAATGTTTCAGGAAATGTTTTCCTGAACGGTGGCATTCGCAGCACAGTGGCTTCTTGATTAGCACTTCTGTCTTGCACTACTGGGGGTACCTGGCATGAATCTCGATCAGAATACTATGTACATGGAGTTTGCCTCTTTTTGACATGCTGGAAGGTTAATTGTCCTCTGTATGTATTGGCCATGTATGTGAGATAGAGACCCAAGGTTAAGGGCAGGGACTGATGTGAATGTGCAGCATGTGCACTATATAAATACCTGTAATAAATAATAGGTTGCTTGGGAGTGGGGGCATGTTGTCCTCTGCTAAAATGGACATAAATAAACAAATTTATGTGACACTAAAGTTAAAAATGCGCTAAGTTGCACCAATGAAGCACCGGCACCATTTTGCAAGTCACATGGAAGTGCATTGCATAGGTGTGAATGGGTCTAATAGAAAATATTGTGATTTCTTTATCTTGGCTAAAGCTCTCCAAATTGCACCAGTGTGACCGGGTTCTTAGATTTTATTAATTTTAGAGTCTTGCAATGCCTTTTCTAGTTCCACAACTGCTGGAGTGCCGGGATTGCCTACCCCTGATCTAGCTTATAGACAGCTATAGGGTACTAATAACTCTGAATGCTGATAAAACGTGATATAGATATGCAGATACTCTTTTACTCTTTATAGGCATCAAGTGTATGGGCACGTGAAACCTGAAAGGAATGTATAGGATAAGAATTGTGCGTTCTATCCACATTACGCACCGCACCCTCTTTTTCAACATTTCTTACCTTATATGGTCATAAAAACTGGAAATTGTTGGTGTGTACAAAGGGTGTAATTATCTGTCATCCAACTGTTTTCCAAACACTTTAGATTACAATCACTTTGGAGAGATCACAACCAGTATGAAGGCCCTTTAGATCTTTACGTCCAAAGTTTAATGTTTCATTGGGATACTTTAAAAGGTTGCCCATTAAAGGAGAACACTTATGTCTTGCGTGTTAGCCACATATGCTGTGATGGTTTTAGTATGTTATCCCTTTTCTGTCCAACGATTTTATGATATGTTATACAATTTTCCCCACACAAAGCATTTTAGATATTTGATACAATCATAACTAAAAGCTTCTTGTTTAAAAGATAAAAGTTGACACCATTTACATGCAAACATTTAATTAATTTAGAAATTCTATTTCACTTTTATTCCTGCGGTTGGGGCAGACAGAGAAGCAGACATGTTGGGTACCCTTGGTAGAATATCATACAAGGGCCAATTTATCGGCCATTATGTCTTTTTTTTAATCTAAACTATTTTTGTTTAGCCAAAATATATTTTAAGATGCCCTTTCAAGCCTTTGAATGGCTGGTAACTGCAATCCAAATAGGGGCTAAGATGAAATTGCTGTAAGGGATAAGAGGGTTGTAGTTCCATTTTGCATCCCTAATATATACTTATATGAAACAAATCACACATTAAAACAGCAATGCACAAATCCCAGGAGCACCGCATTCTCCCTAATAATGACAGCTGCCGCCTAACTT